AAAATCCTCCAGACTCCTGCCCATAAACACCCATGCTACTGGGGTGGTCCTGTCGGAATGAACTCTGCTGCCCGTAGCTGCTGGTCTGATGGCTATATTGACTTGGAGCCTGGCTGTAGGATCCAGTCTGGGGGGGATAACTAGTGGGAGGCTGCTGCCCATAGCTGCTTTGTTGACCAAAGCTACTCTGCTGTCTGTAGCTGCTCGGCTGCCCGTAGGTGTTCTTCTGAGAGTAACTGCTCTGATCATAACTAGTCGACTGTGTAGAATAGCTGGTAAGAGGATAGGATGGAGGTGCGGTGACTGGCTACATCAGGTAGCTTCCAGGAACCTGGGGATAGCTGTAGTTACTCTGTCCATAGCCTAGGCTGGGCTGGATATAACCCTCTGTGCTAGACTGATGTTGGCTAGTCTCAGTAGGCTTGTTGCCATCCTGTGGTCTTGCGGGTACAGTAGCTGCTGGCTGCTGCCCATAGGCTGGGTAAGCAGGCTGAGTGCCATATGCAGACTGAGCTGCATAAGAAGCCTGGGTGGTGGTGACTGCAGCAGTGGTGGCATCATAAGCACCAGTGCCACACCCCTGGACAGGTTGGCTATATGCCTGGGGGGCAGCTGGAGTGGTAGAACCAGTGGGAGGCTTTCCCTAAGAAGCTGCATATGCAGGCTGCCCATAGGTGGCAGTGGTCTGAGCTTGGGTATAGCTGACATCAGTAGGCTGTCCATAGGTTCCACAGCTTTGTTGCCCATAAGCTTGGGTGGTCTGCGCATATCCTTGAGTTGGCTGCGCTATGTAAGCACTGTAGCCCTGCTGGGCTGCAGCTTGGCTGTAGGTACTATAATCCGTGGATGCCATTTTCTCTCCTTCCTCCTCATTCTCTCAATGTCTGTCACCCTCTCGCTTTTCCTCTAACCAGGCTATCTTTCTGATATTTTTTTGTCTAGCTTATTTGTATGATTAGTCAGAGAATTCATAGATTTTTAGATTTTTTTTTTTTAGCTTTCTAGATTTGCTAAAGTGTGCTCTTTCCCCTAGAGTGTGGTCTACTCTGGCCAGTGTTCCTTGGGTACCAGGCAGGAATGCGCATCCTGCTGTTGGCTGGAGAGTTCTTAGACATCAGATACAGCTCACTGGTTGCTGGTGGTGTTCAGCAATTCTACATTCTTGATTTTGTTTTTTAGCTCAGTCAATTGCTGAGAAAAGACAGCTGAAGCCCCCAACTTTAACTATGGATTCGTCTCTTTCTCTTGTCAGTTCTGTCCACTTTTGTCTCTGCTCCCTGTCTTCTGCTCATGGATGAAAGAGTGGATAAAGCTGGAGTATATTAAGAAGATGGGCTGAGTGAAGACCCCAAGAAAGACAGGGGAATGGGAAGAGACCTGGTTCTGGGCATAGTCTAGGTAGGAAGTGGCTGTCCCTTCCTATCCCCTGAGGTCTCACTGAGCCTCAGTCTTCTCCTCTGTGAAGTGGGGCTAAGAAAAGTCATATGAGAGTGTGGAGAGGAAGTCAGTAATGTTCAATTGTTTGGATCTGTTCAAAAGCATGTAATGAGCACTTAGAATGAGTAGGATATACTTTGAGGGTCTGAGAATAGTGAGGGAATGAAGACAACTAGGCTACCAGCCTACTAAATAGTCTACAAGCCTCTTATCAGGCCCTGAGTAGCACTCCCCAAACTCTGTATGCATCAAGTCTATAATGGGTTAACTGAATTTTGTGTTTTAACTGTGGGAAATTGTTAGGAGAAACCTTGTGTTTCCTGTTATCTACTCTAAGGACTGAGTTCTCACTCCCAGCTCAAGGCTGTTTAGCAGTGAATAACTGTTTCTTATCAAGGCAGCAAGCTGAAGCAAACTCCCTCCCTAACCATCTCCTATAAACATAGTCAGCTTAAGACGTACCTTGTAAAACTATGTGCTTATTGCTAACTGTAAAAGACCCTTTAGTTACAAACAGTTTGCAGCTGTGTCAAATGAATGTAGTTTTCTGTACTAAATAACAAATTCACTTACCAAACAGGATGTGATTTTTGTTATAAATACCCCCCTGCTACCTGCTTTTGTAGTCAGTCTTCTCCAGCGTGAGAGCTGGCTGACGACCCTGAGCTCAGTAATAAACAGTGCTATTCAAATTTGGTCTTTGGGCTGGGGAGATGGCTCAGTAGAATAAGCACTACCCTGGCAAATGCAAGAGCCTGAGTTCAATTCCTGGTTTCGCAAAAACAAAACAAAACAAAACAAAACAAACAAATAAAAAACACTTCAGATTTGGTCTTTGATCTGGTTACTATGCTGAGCAACCCATAACAAAGTCCTTCATAAAGAGATGGGTATTTATTTGATCCCTGCTCTATAAGCAAGGTCACTGAGGCATGGATGAAATGCCTTGCCCAAGGAGTGAAGCTGGCATCCAACCCAAGCTGGTCATGTCTGTTTTATGATTTGTCTTCACAGCCAGGGAGCTCTGGGTCTGATCCTCACCCTGAACTAGCAGGTGAAAAGAAACAAACGTAGTGCTCCTGCACATCGGAGCCTTTACCTCACCTTTGCTTCTCTGCTGGGATGGATCTAAAAGCTGCCCGGCGAAGCCATGCTGGGTACGTCTCCTCCCTGTGAAGAAGGCTAGTGTGACAGAAACAAGTTATGTTCTTGTGCCCTACACTGTGTGACCCAAGTGGACTGCGGCCCCACATTCATGCCACTGCCCTCCCTGTAGCACCCTTTCCCAACATCACCTCAGCTGTGCACTTCAATGGTGGTCTGATGAGTCTCTACCACGGTGCTGGCCAGGAATGAAAGTCCGTTTAATCTCAACTGCCAACTCAGGTTTGATTGGCAGTGGCTGGCAGGTGCCTTCTGGCAGGATTCCGAGCCCCTTCCCTTGGCTCAGTGTTTAAATGCTCTGATCGTCTAGTAATGTCTACCTCAGGGTAGATGAGGATGGGTAGTGGGAAATATAAATATGAAGCAAGGTGTTCTCATAACTCAATCCTTGAGATCTAAACCAGTTAAACAGAACCTCAGAGAAGGGAAGTGGCTTGGCCAGGTTCATATTCCTGAACGTACAAAGTTTCAGCTTCAATCCCTTGTACAAAGGGAGGAAAAAGAGGAAGGGGCAACTTCTGGTAAGACGGTCATAATTCTGGTCACTCTACTGGGTTTGGGGGATCAGAGTGATGAAGATAGGTCCCCAGGATGACCCAGGTCTGGCCAGGTTATAAAGACTACCTAAGGGGTGGGGAACAGAAGATGGAGCCCCACATAGTCTGCTGAAGGGCTGGACCACAGCCAGTCCCAAGCGCAAAGGCACTGTGTCCTTAAGAGACTGGCAGTGACCTTTCTAATCAAAGGAGAAGTAGCAGTCCTGGATGGGGAATCCCCCAGCCCCAAGGGTCCCTTCTTAGCAGGCTGAGGGTAAGTTTGGGCTAGAGTGGAGGGGTCCCAGGAGGAGGCAGGGCGCGCAGAGAAAGGAGCTGGGGGAGGAAGCCCAAGCGTGGGCTAGGTGGGTGCAGGTCATGTCTGGGGCTTGAGAGCCAAGCAAATTCTGCCCAGAGCCAGAAGTGTGACGGCAGGCATGAGGTCAGCACTGGTCCAGGGAAGCCGATGTATGGGTTTCTGCCACATCCTCCCCATCAAGATCCCCCACATCTGTCTGCGCAGGACAGAGTCAGGTCATGACCTCTTCTCTCACCTCCTTCTCTCCTGTTTCCTCCTCGGTTATTTCTCTGACCTTAAGCCCTGACCATTCCCCTTTCTGGTCCCACCTTTTTTGTTGCTGCTGCTCCACCACTAGGTACACTATGCCCCCGGGGCCTTTGCACTTGCTGTTCCCTCTTCCTGGCATTCTTTTCCCCTAGGCCAGTACTCAGCAAACCACAGCCCACCACTTATTTGTGTCAATAAAGTTTTTTTTTTTTTTTTTTCCGGGACCAGGGATTGAACTCAGGGCCCTTGCGCTTGCCAGGGAAGCACTTATTCCACTGAGTCATCTCCCTGGCCACCTATAAAGTTTTATTAACTACAGCTACATCTGTCCATTGACTTGGATTCTTGCTGAGTGCTGTACCCTGGGACAGAGAATAGGGTTTCACACATAATAGGTGCTCATAGAGAAATTCTCAATGAATGAATATTTACACTACTAGGGGTTGGCCCTACACCTCTGGGGTTGTCCCTACACCTCTGGCCTCTACCTCAGTTTCTCTTGTCACAGAACTGAGTCCCTGGCAGATTTCCTGCCAACTCTTTCCAGCGCCATCTCCATTTTACAAGGTTCTCATTTGAAAAAGATTTTTAAAACCCCACACATTGTACACCAGAGGTGCAGAAACAGAGGCATTTTAAATACCTGTGTTTCACAGAATAATACTTTCAACACACCAAGCTCACTGCCATGTAACAGAGACATCCATGAGATAACTACAGGGCTTATTTTCAGTAGTAATTAATGAAATTCAGTTAGTGTTCATTCATTAACATGTCCTAGAATATTAATTTAATCAGTTTTAAAATAAGTAAAATTAATTTTATCTTAAATACTAATTAGCAGAGGCCTGGAAGACACCAGTGAAGTCCCCAAATCACTCTTCCCCTGTCTTTCTTTTTTGTCATTTCTGTCAAATGGTGTCATTTAAAGAGAACGTCCAAAGTGAGGTCCAAAACAAAGAGTTCAAACCCTTTTTGTTCTATTCAGGCGCTGGACAGATTGGACAATGCCGAGCACGCTGGGGAGGCCATCTGTGCCCGGGCCGTGGACCCAGTGCAGTGCTGGTTTCTACTGGGACCGCCCCCTCGGCAGTACCAGGGAAGAACAGTTACCCAGCTCTCGGCCCATCTCTTGGGCTGGCTGAGTTGACTCATAAATTAACCCCTGCACATTCCTGCCATCAGTCCTGCTTAGCAGAGAAGAGCTGAGGCGAAAGATGGTAAAGTGACTTGGCCAAGGTCACTCAGCTGGCCAGAGGTGGGCCCCGGATAGCGCCTCCTCCTGGACACCTTTTTTTTTTTTTTTAAATCAGGGTTGAACCCAAGGCCTTCTCCCTGAGTCACCTCTTTAGCCCTTTTTATTTTTTTAATTATAAAACCAGTTTCCCCTAACTTGATCAGGCTGGCCTCAAACTTGCCATCCTTCTGCCTCAGTCCTGAGAGTGCTGGGATCACAGGTGTACAGGGCCTCAACCTGCTCCTGTACCTGACTTTAACTCCACCAGAATTCTTCCCTAGAGTGGCCAAGGTCGCTTGGCATGTCCAAGCCTAACCTTCCTCCTCTGCCAGGCGGCACTGCCTGCCCTGTCCTTGGACAAGGTGGCACATGTAGAGGGCTTAGCCCAGGGCTGGCCTGGGGTCACCTCTTGCACTTCTCAGAGTCGTTCAACTCCTCTGAACCTTTATTCATCAGACGGGGAAGCTGAGGCTGAGGTCGGCAATGGCTTGCTCAGAGCCACATGGAGAACTAGTGGCGTGGTCAGGCCTTGAGTCTTGTCTCCAAGACCTGTGCTCCCCACCTCTCTTCTGACCTGCTTTCGTTGCGCTTGGCTGACACGACAATGGAATCTCCTCTGTGCAGCCTTGGGCTCGAAAGGGCACGAGGGGGCGCGCGTGATCGCTTATGGTCTCCAGGCTTCCGCGGGGCTGGAGCCCCGGACCTGCAGCTCACCCCAGGGCCACTGTTGTCTAGACTCGGTACCCAAGTCTCCAGCGCTTCCAGCGTATTCTGGCGTCCTGATGCTCCTCCTCTAGCCCCGCCCCCTCACCAGCATGCTCCACCCCTCACCAGAAGACTCCGCCCCTGGCCAGCATGCTGGCTCTCCCTTCTAGCGGGGCAGGATCCTCAGGAGCCGTGGGGCTCAGGGTGAGCTAATACAGCCCAACCTACCCTGAAGCTCAGAAGTTCCACTTACCTGAGTCAGTTCTGCTGAGTTTGTGCTCGTTTCACCAAGAATTGTGCATAAGGACGTTTGCAGAGATGTTTAGAACAATAAGGTAGATAAATAAAGAAATAGCTATTAAAAGCCACCAAACCAAGCACCTTCTCCCCAGCTTTATTGGTGTATAATCGACAAAGTCTTCGATCCCCGGCCTGCCCTGCCGACCCCACTCCCAGGGCGCGCAGAGGCGGCAATTGAGACTGGGCGTGGTGACGTGCGCCTATAATCCCAGCTCTTGGGAGGCTGTAAACAGGCGGATCACTACGAATCTGATTAGTAGTGAGACCCTGTACACCCTGTACACCCTTCCCTAAAATATAAAAATAAAAAATAATAATTAAAAAAATCGACGAAGTTGGCAGTTAGCATGGTACTGCAGGGGTAGGGGACACTTTAGAGTCACTGAAAAGGGTGTCATACAGCCACAACTGTTGACTTAGCCTCCAGATAGCTTTATGAAAAAATAAGGTATGGAATTTTGTGTCTAGTATGACTGTATTAAAATTAAAAAAGGAAAAAAAAATAACGGCAACGTGGGTGCCAGGGGAGAGCCAGGGAGCAGTGCCCCACCTGGTGCGGCAGAGCTGCGCCTGCAGACATCCGAACGGACCCCCCGACCAGCCCTGCTCCTTCGGCCCGAGCGCTAAGGACACGGGGAACACTGTTCTGACCCCCAAGAAGACCATGGTTTCTGGCAAGTAGAGATGGTTGGACAGATAAATACTGCGCAATGTGGCAGACACTGTGACAACTGCACCGTGTGGCAGACACTGTGACAGGCGTTCCCTCAGCAACAGCGAGGGCGGGAAGCAGATGGGGCCGACTCCCCTGGGCACACCAGGAAGGCTTCCTGGAGTAAGGGGTCCTTAGTGGAGTCCAGAATGGTTGGCGTGTAGATAGACCAGTGGGAGCAGAGACGAGGATCTGAGAAGTGTGGAGGACTACAAGAGAAGCGTGAAGTAGAGGGGCCTGCGGAGAGGCAGGGATCTTGCCGGGGCTCCGCCCATCTAGCTGAGCTTAGGGTCTGCGTCCGACGCCTAAGGGTTGCTCTGAGGTGCTGGACGGAGCCAGGGCCAGCAGAGGGCGCTGCGACCTCTGCAAACTGCAGGCTGTAGAGTCCGCGCAGTCTAGACTGGCCTGACCACAGCTCCGGGTAAGAGTCCCCACCCCAGGCCACCTGCCAGCCCCCCAGGCCTTTCCAGACCCCGACTCCAGCCGCCGCCGCCCTGCAAGGAACCCGACGGCCCCCGCGTGCACCGAATTTCTGGACCTCGCGCGAACGTGCGTGCAGTGCAGGGGAGCCCTGCAGGGATGAGGTCGTGCGGATGGCGCCAGGCTGTGGCCACTGGGGTGAGGGACAGGCCCTGTCTTGGACGCGCCAGGGCCCGGCTAGCACCGGCTCGGGACTTCGCCCTGCGGTCCTCTTTCCCCAAGCCTGGAGTTTCTCGCAGCGTTGCCATCTAGGTCACGCCCCACCTCTGCCGTTACCTCCGCGCCCTGGAGAAGGGCGCTAAGCCCCAAGTAAGCGAAGCCGGCCCAGCCCCGTGTGCGGCCGCAGCGCGGCTTAGCTGTCTCAGGAGGATGGAGATGGCTTCACCCAAGGACTCGCGAATGCCCACGGGAATGCACCGTGCATCCCACGAAGCTGCCACAGAGAGACCTCAGCGAGAAGCCTGATCGCGAGCATCCTCCAGGAGTCTTCCCACCCCGAGTTTAGAGACAGATGGGAAGACAGCCGAGGCGGAGACCGAGACAGGGAAGGGCCTGGCCCAGGGTCACCGGCTCGGGTGGGGGGCGGAGCCTTCTCCCAGGACTTGCCGGGGGGCCTGGCCAGGAGCCTCCCTCTCAGGAAGGGCCCTTGGCCGTTGGCGGGGAGTTTAATGGCAG